CCTCTTGGGCGAGGAGGTGGCCCAGTACGATGGCGCGTACAAGGTGCGTGGGTGCCCTTACTGGGCCGGGAGAGGGCATCAGGCAGGCCCTGACTCCGCTCTTCTGCCCTGCAGATCTCCAGGGGTCTCTGGAAGAAGTACGGGGACAAGAGGGTGATCGACACCCCGATATCAGAGGTACGGCTGGGCCCGCCTCTGACCCTGGCGACCCCTTCCTTAGCTGCTCCCCCAGTGCTTACCCTCGGTTTCCTTCTCTTTCAGATGGGCTTCACGGGAATTGCTGTTGGGGCTGCAATGGTTTGTAAATTTATGTTCCTTTTGAATTAAAACATTTAAACTATTCTTACGTAAAACCATACTAATACGTGTTTTAATATATTTAACAGGCAGGGTTGAGACCAGTGTGTGAATTCATGACATTCAACTTCTCCATGCAAGCGATCGATCAGGTTATAAACTCGGCTGCCAAGACCTGTTACATGTCTGCAGGATCAATTGCTGTTCCCATTGTCTTCCGGGGCCCCAACGGGGCATCAGCTGGAGTCGCTGCCCAGCACTCACAGTGCTTCGCGGCTTGGTACGGGCACTGCCCAGGGCTGAAAGTTGTTAGTCCTTGGAGCTCAGAAGATGCCAAAGGTCTGCTGAAAGCATCAATCCGGGACGATAATCCAGGTGAACACAGGCAGATCATGGCAATACCTAACACTCCATCTTGAAAACAATGTCTGTTTTCCCCTCCTGCCCCATTTAAAACAAACAAAAAAACCCTGTTAAACCCTAAAACACTTAATGTTGCTTTACTGCTGCTTTCAGATACTTACAAAGACAGAAGTATTTACTCTTTTCCTAACAGCCACTTGCCTCACTCACAGTAGACTCATTTTTGCTGTTGCCAGCTGTGTGTCTTTAGTGCTAGTTTGGGACCAAATCAGGAAACTTAGAAGCGTTTGTGAATCTATAGTAAAGGGGTTAAAAGGGATAAAGATGAGTCAGGAGGAGTTCCTGCATATACAGTGTCTGTGTAACAGATCATGAAATTCATATGGTAAATTCAGAATGTCATTAATTAAAAGCAGGTTAACCTTTGTTGTTGTTTTTTACAAACATGCATGCAAAATCTAAGACTTTCCAAAACTAGTGATTCTACCGTTGTGTACCAGAAGTTAAATATCTGATCTCAAATTTAAGACTAGTTGTAGACCATTTTAAAAATAATTCAGTATTGACTTTTATTTTTTTTAATTGCTTCTGCAAACATACTTAAGTTCTTGTTGCCTGGATGGGCTTAGTATCTTGAGCTAGTCTGCTGCAGTACCGTTAATCATCAGTACAGTGCTGTGTCTGCAGATGTACATGTTAATCTAAGTATGTTTTCTTTTAGTTGTGATGCTGGAAAATGAATTACTGTATGGTGTTCCCTTTGAAATGTCAGAACAGGCACAGTCAAAAGATTTTGTTGTTCCAATTGGAAAAGCTAAAATAGAAAGGCAAGGTAAGCTAAGAATACAGTTTGTTCCTTATTAACTGAACTGAATGTTACTTTATCCTGTAGCATACTTTATTGTTCTGTTGCCCATATAAAGAAAGTTCACTTGATTCTCTATATCTCGTCTAAAAGACTTGTTCCTTATTATAGAGATGGAGTAGGCGATGTCTGGAAAAACTTTTTTCCTCATCCTAGTACATAATTTTTGTCAAAAATGCAAAAAGAGATCACTGTAGTATTTTGGCCCATTTGTTCATGATTTACCAGTTAATTATATGAATGTTTGAAAAGGATAATCTGAAAACTATATTAAATATCTTCTTAGTTCTCTGAATTAAAGGATGGAGTTTCTGTCTTCACATAGTCCTTCTGCTGCAACTCCTCATGCTGTGTACTGGTGTAGAATACTTAGCATTTCAAATAAATGTAAGGAACTTAAATTTACAAGAGAATCCTAACATTACCTTGAAAGGAGCCTGAGGTCTAGAGAAAAGCTTTAACTCTTAAGTTGTGTTTTTCTTTTTTAACATTGACATCCATTGTAGGAACTCATGTTACGTTAGTGTCACACTCAAGACCTGTTGGACACTGTTTGGAAGCAGCTGTTGTACTTGCCAAAGAAGGCGTGGAGTGTGAGGTGGGTGAGGTTTCTGTTGCTTTTCTCTTACCCTGAACTGGGGAAAAAACAGAGGGTCTTCTCATTCAGGCTCTGCAAAACTTCAGTGTCACAACTACTAGCTGCTTATATTTGTAAATGCCTTCAGTCGGTGAGCCAAGCACCTGCGTTTCATGTTTCTGCATTTGACCTTTTCATCACAAAATTAAGGCAGAACTGATAATGATTTTCAGATTGACCTAGCTGCCTGGGAAGCAGATTGACAGTATGTGTTAGTATGGTTGTATCTCGATACAACAAGACTCACCTATCTGGGATTTTCCAGGAGCCACCAGAAACTGTTCTGTACAGTCTCTGCCAGGATAAAAAGTTAGACATTTTACTTGTCTTGAAAGTCAGAGTAGATGGAAGTGCTAAAGGACAAAACTCAGAGTCCTTCTTGTTTTGTTTATTTTTCAGGTTATAAATCTGCGTACCATTCGACCAATGGATATTGAAACAGTGGAAGCTAGCGTTGTGAAGACAAACCATCTTGTAACTGTAGAAGGAGGTTGGCCACAATTTGGAGTAGGAGCTGAAATCTGTGCCAGGATCATGGAAGGTACTGAGTTTTGCAATATACATGTTGATGTCATTCCCTAGTCTAAATCCTGACGACTTCTTCATAAAGCCAGATGAAGGCAAAGTTAGGGTTTTCTATCTGAGGAGCTTGAGCCTAGCTGTCTTCCTCTACTAGATTTTCACAGGGTGGATCCAACTCCTGTTCTCTTGCAACCAATTCTCACTCCAGGAACTTGACTGTGTCAGAAGCAGGATATAAACTTTTTGTCTAAGCATAGTGCATGAAGATAAACGAGCAGGAACAGCTGCTTTGGGAATATTAGAACTACAGGAAGAGAATTGTTTAAATAGATTAAGATTCAGAAAATGAAATTGAGAGAAAACCGTAGTGTGTGGCAACCTGACACCCATCTTCTGTTTCAGGATCTGCCTTTAACTACTTGGATGCTCCAGCTGTGCGTGTTACTGGTGCAGATGTTCCTATGCCTTATGCAAAAATTCTAGAAGATAACTGCATACCTCAAGTGAAGGATATAATATTTGCAGTGAAGAAAACTTTGAATATCTGAGTTGTAAATACACGTTTTAAAGTCCTGCTTTAAAAAGTATCAATGGTGTAGGGCAAGTTGTATGCATAACTTTGTTGTATAGCTTCATGAACTTTTGTACAGTGGAGAAAGTATCGCCACCTCCCAGAATATTTATATGGGGTTACCCTCTAAGCCACACTTCGTGTAAGCAACATGTTAATGTATGTTTGTTCAGCAGTACAGGTGGGCAAGTGCTATTGTATGTGGAGAAATCTGATCCTAAATTCAGAGTGAGGACAGAATCCTCCATTTCTGCTTGGCTTGTAATTACCAGACTAGTTGTGTTAAACTGGCTGCAGTGTGGTTGTGAAGAACTGCAGGAAGCAAAAGTCCAGCCCTGGAATGCTCTAGGGCTCTCTAGGAGCCCACGGTCACAAGGCTTATTAAAGGTGAATGAGTAAACTGGACCGAGTGAAGCCCTGCTTTTCAGGTGACAAGTGAAGTGCATCTGCACAAAATGGCTTTGGAAGCCTGTGGTGTGGGCTGAGAGATGGGCCAACGTGTAGTTCAAGGAACGCTCTGCTCATGCAGGAAAGCTGCACAAGAGTTCAAAGAATATGTGATGGGAAACACTACTTAGTTTTTCTTTACTAGCTGCCACAAACAGTGATAAAAAAAATACTTGCCCAGATGCTTTGCTTTATGTATTTTTTTTTTAAACTCATCACATGGGCTAACAGCAGCATGCTCAAAACTATAGTTCTTAGAGTGCAAAGTACGTTATTTTATGCAGATGTGCTGAGCCTGGGTCTGAAGCAGCAGCTGCATAGATTGCGTTTGAAGAACTGGGAAACAGTTGTAGCAGCTTTAGGCAGATCACCACATGCCAGGGGCTAGTCCTGGCGGGCTGGGAGAGCTCTGTTAGGCTTGGTTCAGTTAGCTTCTGGTGCAGAGTGGAAGCTGCTCAGAGGAGTGTGAGCAGTGTGGCTTGCTCTGTACCCCAGAGTGGCCTGCCTTTCCACTGAGCTGTTGGGGAGGAGATACTTCCCTCTGTATCAGACAGAAACGCTCGGGTCCTGTTTCAGTCAAGGGCCAGGAATACTTTTCAGGGTATTTCCGTGAGCAGAAGGGCTGTTAGGTTCTTAGGAAGTCTGGCTTGCAGGTGAGATCCTAGCTGAACATACCCACCACCACACTGCTGAAGGAATTCCATTAACATTTTAATAAAAATGACTGAATATCACAGGTTACATGAAACTTTGTACAGACATTCTCTGCATAGTAACAAACACTGATGTACTTGATTTTAAAAAATGGATTATCTATAATCCTTTAAAGTGCAATTTGTTTAAGGTTTTAAATCAAAAGGATCTTTCAATAAAGTTTAAGCTGTAGAATTAACTTGAAGTAACTTTGCATTTAACTAAATCAAGAATAATATCCCAGTGCCCTATTCACTCTTATTTCAACTGTTTCCTCATTTAAAAACGCTTTCCCTTAGAGTTACAGGTAGGATGTCCATTTAAACAAGTTTAATGAAACAGCATTTTTATTCCACCAGCAAATATGGTGGGAATAAGATTCAATTCTCCAGTTCCCTCACCTGTGCAGTATGCTTTAAGGGTTGGGGAGGCGGGGAGGGTGCTGGATTATCCAAAACAAAACTTGCTGATTCAGTGCAGCAAGAATTAAGATTTACAATGGCATGAAAAGTGTTGAAAACCTGAGCAGACTAAAACTACATTTCTGTAATTTGAAAAAAGGGGTGGAATAGAGCTAGAAAAAAAATTGCATTAATTCATGATGATCATGGTCATTCCTATTTTCAGATTTCTGTTCAGCTATATAGAAGTTGCTGTACCCCTGAAACTGTAGCTAGAGAGCAGAGTTTCTGAAACCCAGTGAAGAATGGAGTACTTAGCACAGCACGGCAACGCAATTCCAACAGCGTAGTGCTGCTACTCAAGGAAAGCTGAAATGGGGGTAAATGGAGCTACAGCGTGATTAGCTGCTATATGCTGGTGGATCAGTCGCCGGTCAGGAGGGTCTTTTTCCTAGACAGCACAGGAAAGGGAGAGGGAATTCAATCCTGGTGTGACCAGTAGCCTCAGCTGATCCTGGGAGCGCTGTAGTCGCACGTCTGTGTTTTCTTCAGAGTTCCTTTCTGAAAGTTTTGTATGGAGCTGAGTAAGGCTCCTCGGCTTGCACTGACATCAGGCTGTGGGCTTGGCTGCGTTGGCACCTCTGTACTTGGAGGAGGAGCTGCTGGTGGCAGGGGTGGCGGTGCTGGGGGTATCGACGATGCTCCTGTTGCGTTGAGGAGAGAAGATGCAGTTTGATTATGTCAAGAACGTCCTGTGGCAGAGGACGGCAGCCCTGAGCTGACTTGGTCAGTCCTGCACTAGTCACGTCATTCCTTGAATGCCAGTGGAGTGTGAAGAACAGAAAGCATGAAAAAATGCCAAAGTGATCAAATCCCTCTATCTGCAGGTGAGTTGTGTCATCTAAGACACTCTGAAAAAAAGCCTTAAGTGCCTCAGTACTTGGTGATGCAAAACATGACTCAAATGTGGTCTTGCACTGGGGGAAATAGAGATAAGAACTTAAGAGAAAGTGAAGCTAGGAAGTTCTATTGTTTGTCCCCAGTGAAGCAGTTTGCTCTTTGAGTCACGAACAGTAACAAAGACTGGAAGCAAGTCTTGCTACCTGTTCTTATTTACATGACTAACGACATTCTTACGAAGGACCACATCGCTGTAGTATTTCTGATGACTGCTTGGTCAGATTATGTTCCATTTTTGAAATACTAACTGCAGATAGAGTTTCCTGGAAGTGTTTTATGCTTCCACAGTACTATCAGACTTTCTCCGAACATGCTGTAACAAACGCCTGTTTCACAGGGTGAATGAATCACAACCATCTGCCACTCACACCGCTTGCCTGCTTCTAGAGTTCCCACCAGTCACTCTGCACTCTGGCCCTTGCTTTCCACCCCAGTCACATCCAGCTCGTGCTTCTCATCGTGCCTCAGCCTTCACGTCCTGACTCCCTGGGAAGCCAGAGCCCACAGCAGCGCATGCAGGCAGCAAGCCCAGCAGCGAGGGCCTGCATGGAGGTGCTTCCTGGCAGCTCAGATCCAGGCGGGTGGCCTGATTTGCCCCAAGCAGCTCTCCCAAACACCCTGATCTTGCACAACTCTGCTGCTGCGCGTTGCACCATCGTTTCTACACAAGTACAATCAGATCCACACTGGAGTGAGAGCAAAGGGCTTCAGAGGTAACCGCTTGCTGTTCCGCAAGACATCCACGTGAAGGTGGTGTTTGCAGCACATGACCAGCTATATGAGGAATGATGGGCCTGTCTTGTCTCGTGTTCTGGAATGAGCAGGGGCATTATGATTAGTATCTTACAACTACTCAACAGTGAATTTTAACTTACGATCATTTAGATCATAAGTTATTCCACAGTAAGACTAGAGAGACAAATGGCACCTATAGCATAACACTTGCTTTTGGTAGCTCGAACCTACAGAGAGGAACACACTGGTAAGTGGCAAGAACTATGACACAACGCAAAACAACACGAGGCCAACCAAGAGGCTATGGTTACTGACGTAGAACTGCTTGCTATGAAGCAGGCAAATACCGAGCAGTTAAGGGGCATTATGCCACAGGGGCTCACGAGGTATTCAACGAAGGATAAAGCTCAGCTACAGAAAACAAAAAGCAGGCAAAGTTCTCTGTGCTCCACTTCTCTCTCAATTCCTCGCTACCACTTGCTCTCAGACTAACAAGTAATAGTGAAAAAGTAAGTGCTGAAATTAAAAAAAGCAGTTACACTAGATGAAAGCCATAACCCAAAGTTCCCTCGTTTTCTATTTGTGCCAGTCTTTGAAGAGACTTTTCCCATATGAGAACAAGCTCAAAATGCAGAGTATTCACACAAAGCATCCAACTTTGCCAGTGTACATTAATACATGCTGTGACTGTAGCACTTCCAGCTCTTCAGGAGAAATTCTTATTGTCATGAAAACCTTCTGTGACAACAAAACATGGAAGTACATATTGGGCTTATCTTCACTCTCCTCCCTTCCAGAAGAAATACTCAAGTCCTAGTAGAAATATCAGAGATCAACTGAAACAATGTAGCATGCCTGTTGCATGTGGATCAACTGCTCTCTTAAATAATGAAAACACTACACAATGTTAGCACAGACTGAAATAAATTGCATATTGATGCCTTGGGGCCATCTAATTTATCCAAATCTACTTTTTACACTAGCCAAAGATGAAAGCCAATTTATTATTAGACATACTGGAAAACCATCTCCTAGGTTACAGTCTTTCTGTTTCTCATGCGTGTACAGACCGCCAGCAAAGCAAATCTTGACACTTTGCCAAAGGAAGAACAAGGCCAAAAACAGTTAAAGTAACCACTTTTGCAGTTAAAGTGGTCAGAGCAGAACACCACAGGACTGCCATACCAACGCTATCACCAAACTGATCAGATGAACTGCTGTAAAAGAGCCAAGACCAGCTAATCATAAATGAAATGGCTTGAAAGAGATGCAAGAACTGCAGAGAACAAAGACAAGATTTTTGGCTGGAATTGCAAGGTGAGGTTGGAGAGGTTGTGCAAGTAGTTGTACAAGATGCAATAAGGAATAAGCATGAAAACAGTGGCCAGGACTCTCTATGGAAGAGAAATACAGCAGTAACATAGGCAGTGGAAGAAGGCACACATTTGACAGAGAGAGGGGCAAAAAAGTCACAAAGTGCTTAGATCACGAAGTATTGTTAGGCCAAGATTCCATGCGTTATATTCAAATTTTGGTCTGGTTATGCTACAATGGGGGCAGAAAAGACAGGGAAGTAGGGGGAGAGGCCACTTTCCTTCCTGGAAATTATTTAAATTCCTCAGGACTAACTGTTATTGAAACTGAGCTGCCAAGAACATCATACAGTTACATTCTTGGGGGACTGATTACAGACAATGATACTCTTACACCTGAGCTCTGCCTTAAAACACAACAGTTTTTAGGATGGTATCTGACTAGCTATGAGCAAACACATATTGAATCTATTAATTAAGACCATGGTTCTGAAAATCATCAAATCAATTCACTTCAATTAGTCAATCAAAACCAAGCTGTCATTCCCTTCTTGTCACGAGTGGTGCAAAGGAAATCTGAGTTCACACTGGTGTACTCATATGCAGTTACATCTACAGACTAAATTGTTCTGTCCAACAGTGAAATATTTTCCTGTATTTACTAGAAAAGACATTT